AAGATGAGAACTGATGAGTGGGTAGTAGCTGAGAACTCGCGACTTTGGAGTACAACTTTAGTACGAGGAGTAGCTGGGGAGCTGGAAGATGAGAACTGGGTCGTACAAATATAGTACGCAGAGCAGCCGGGGAGTGGGAAGATGAGAACTGGCGACTTGGCAGTGCAACTTTAGTACGCAGAGTAGCTGGGGAGTGGGAAGATGAGAACTGGTGAGTGGGCAGTAGCTGCGAAGTGGCGACTTTGCAGCACAAGTGTAGTGCGCGGAGTAGCGGGGGAGCTGGAAGATGAGAAGTGGCGACTTGGTAGTATTGGTAGTACAACTTTAGTATTGTTCTTATGCCTATGCATGCGCTATTTACTACTTTGCAGCCCACTAGCTCGTAGGTCTTCCTCTTTGCCCAGCCATCATGCCAGGGCACCTTGGCATTGTTGACGAGCACTTCTTCAGCGTCAACCAGGATGACCAGAGGCAGATGATTCACACGTTATTGTTCAGTCTGCAGTGCAGCATGTGGTGATGCAATTGTTGAGATGGCGAAGACAGCGCGCTGGCTAGCATCATAGTTGAAGTGGGTAAGCCAGCACGCTGGCTGCCATTGTCCAGATGGCAAAGCCAGCACGCTGGCTGCCATCATAGTTGAAGTGGGTATGAGCCAACACGCTGGCTACCATCATAGTTGAAGTGGGTAAGCCAGCACGCTGGCTGCCATCATGGTTGAAGTGGGTAAGCCAGCACGCTGGCTGCCATCATAGTTGAAGTGGGTAAGCCAGCACGCTGGCTGCCATTGTCCCCTTACCAGCAGCCCAAATGCTCACGACGATGAGCTGGGCTGTCACCGCTTGGCCGCCGGTGGGGGGTTTGGGAGGCCGCATCACACACAGACACCCACACACTCCCTCAACTTACACGAACACACACATACGCAGACTCATTTCCACACGGACATAGACACACGCACAGAAACCCACACACTACCTCAACTCACTCGACTTCACACTTCTCACTGCACACTTACCGGATAACTCGCACTCTGACTTCCTACGTGATGAAAAATGCTTTCGGGCCACTCGTCGTCTAGTTTTCTTACGCCAGGCATTTCGTTGCAAGAGAACTGCAACAGTCCCAGCACAGAAATGCAACAAGAAGGTGCACGACCCCCGGTAGGCCGTGGCGTTTCGTGAGGACCGTCTACTTGAACATGCGCACGGCGCTGTAGCGCCGCTATCATTTTCAATGATGCAACTGCAAGTTCCACGAATCACAAAACTACTTTTTTTATCTTTCTCCCGAATGCGTAGCGAAGGGTTCTCGTTTAACTCTTGGGGGTCTGGGGGTAGAGCCTTGTTCGTGACCCGTTGTTTCTAAGTTCGCAAACGTCCGCAACCGTTCGCAACCGTCCGCAACCGTTCGCAAGTGTTCGCAACCGTCCGCAGTAGAGCGCTGAGGTGCTGCCATTGGGGGAAGCTTTTGCAAGTGACTATTCATGGATGTGTCACGTGTCAGTTTGCGCCGCTATTCCATTGTGATTTGCATGAAAAAGACATGTCGCGCAAGAAACGTGATGCGTTTCGCTGCACAGGCACAGCGTTTGGAGAGTCGTGTTTTTGGGGCGTTGGATGTGGCCGTGCCATTGGGATTTGCGTTTCAGGGTGCGGCATCGAAGCTCTGTTTTCGTGACCAGTCTCAGCTGAAATGACGATTTTGGTGGATGGGAGTGTGCTCAGAACGGGTCGAAATCATTCCAAACGTGTGGTGTGGTGCAAATTTTGTTGAAGCTGACATGAGATGATATTGTCACTTTTCGTGGCAGGCGCTGTATTCTGTGTGGGTTTTGAGGCGTGGAAGTGCGATTCTCGTGGCAGGCGCAGGGAACGGTGAGGTTGCGAGGTGTGACCGGGGTGACATTTCGTGGCAGGCGCAGTACTTTGCGCGCGTTAGACGCGTGGATGCGGAAAGATTTGTGGCAAGGGCAGGGAATTGTGAGGTCGTGAGTTGTGGTAGAGGTGAATGTCGCTGTCACAGTGGACACTGGGATTGGCGTGTGAACGGGCGTTGTTTGGAGGGGCTGGACTCGCGAAACTGCTTGGCAGGGCTGCGTGATGTGTGTGCTCCGATGGGTGTTTCCGCTTGACTTTTGGAGGAAGTCTCGTACGAAATGTTCGTTTTGCAGACTTTGACGTGTGAGTTTTGGAGGGAGTCTCGTACGAAACGCTCGTTTTGGAGACTTGACACGTGACTTTTGGAGGAAGTCTCGTACGAAACGCTTGTTTTGGAGACTTGACATGTGACTTTTGGAGAAAGTCTCGTACGAAACGCTCGTTTTGGAGACTTGACGTGTGACTTTTGGAGGAAGTCTCGTACGAAGAGTGCCCTACAAGAGTGTCCCACAAGAGTGTCCTACAAGAGTGTCCCACAAGCGTGTCCTACAAGAGTATCCCACAAGAGTTTCGTACAAGAGTGTCCCACAAGAGTGTCCCTTAAGAGTGTCCCGCAAGAGTGTCCTATAAGAGTGTCCTACAAGAGTGACCCACAAGAGTTTCCTACAAGAGTGTCCCACAAGAGTGTCCACAAGGGTGTCCCACAAGAGTGTCCTACCGGAGTGTCCCACAAGAGTGTCTGTCTCACAAGTGTGTCCCACAAGAGTGTCCGACAAGAGTGTCCCATAAGAGTGACCCACAAGAGTGCCCTACAAGAGTGTCCCGTAAGACTGTCCCACAAGAGTGTCCTACAAGAGTGTCCCACAAGAGTGTCCTACAAGAGTGTTTCGTAAGAGTGTCCCACAAGAGTGTCCCACAAGAGTGTCCCGCAACCGTGTCCCACAAGAGTGTCTCACAAGAGTGTCCCTTAGGTCCCTTAAGAGTGTCCCACAAGAGTGTCCTATAAGAGTGTCCCACAAGAGTGTCCTACAAGAGTGTCCCACAAGAGTGTCCCGTAAGAGTGTCCCACAAGAGTTTCCTACAAGAGTGACCCACAAGAGTGTCCCACAAGAGTGTCCTACAAGAGTGTCATTTGTAGCTTTTCGAACGTGTCTGCATTCGGGTTCGTGGGCTCCATCTTGTTTTGCACCCACCGGCCCTGCTTAGCGACTTTGCACAGCTCGTTCATTATGTTGGCCCCACCGACGTCATTATGTTGGCCGACGATGTAGACCGACGTCATTATGTTGGCCCCACCCCCCCCCACCCCCCCACCCCCCACCCCAACAATTTGCAGCTCTGATCGTCAGCAACTGTCCATGTCGTACGCGTTGTTGTTGCAAGTAAGCAAGTTTACAGACATCAGAGAACTTCCAATCCATACCCAACGTAGCATCAACTTGGCGAATGGCAAAAACGTGGAAATTCTCCACCCAAGGGTACAATTTAGAGTGCAACATAGCAAAAATTTGGTGACTTCAATTCACATGCGAGGAGCTAGCATCATGTTATGCGCAGTCTGAGATATGTTTCAGATACGATGAGCTAGCATCATGTTATGTGCAATCTGAGATATGTTTTATTGTTGTGCAATGCATGCAGTCTGAGTCTGAGATATGTTTTATTGTTGCGCAATGCATGCAGTCTGAGATATGTTTTATTGTTGTGCAATGCAACGAAGACCTGGAGCTGGGATGCAAAAAGACGTCGAACAAATCAAAATCGCAAGAAAAACACACGGCCTACCGGGGGTCGTGGTCCAACAAGAAACGCATCGGCAACTTGGCATTGTCTCATACTCTTCGTTGTTGCGCTGCCCGCAACAAGAAACCCTGCCACCAGGAGCACCGGTTTCGCGCCTGCGAAGCGCTCTCGAGAGCCCTTGGGCGCCTGAAGTTCGGCCGCCGTGATCTCGGTGACCTGTCGTGACCAACTGCTGCTCGCCGAGTTCGGAGCGTTGATGCGGAGAGTCCGATCCTGATGCTTTGTGCTTGGGGAGGATCAAAAAACAACACTTGAAAAAGAAATCCACTCGCCATACGTCTGGAGACATCCCCATGGATTCAGAGTCGCCCTGCGCGGGTGGCAAAATCCCGACGTTTTGGCCCGACCCCTTCGACCCTCGCTCCCGCCTCTGCGCAGGAGAGCGCCGAGTTCAGGGCCTCCAAGCCCAGGCTCATCGCCTCAAGGATGAATTGAATACAAATGTAAGGTTGGGTGATAATTTTTGATATATATATATATATGTATACCTATAATTACCTATATATATATATATATTCGGAGTTTCACTGTCTACTGATGGGATGAGATCCGCTTCCGTTTCGTTTCGCCGACGGCCCCACGAACTCCCTTCTTTCACCTCCTGCCGAGACACGCTCACGGCGTGCTCCGCACACGAGACGGCCTCTGGATTCCGCCTCGGCTGGAACTGACAAGGCAATTTGATTCCTTTCTTCTATTTTTCCAATTTTGCCCATTTTTGCTTAGGCGCATCCGCTGGGGTCATCATAACACTTCCTTAGCACCCTATTAATCATGCAATTCCACTGTACAGTACCAGTCCGGTATGGCCTCAAGAGACCAAGCTTGACTTTCGAAACCAGCGAAAGTTGCAGGAACACAGCAAACCTTTCTGACCGGACCACATTCCAAAACAAGGCGCGTAACCGATACTGTACTATAGTGGCAAAGAATGTCTCGCTTGATGCGATCTTAGATTCCTCTGGGTGTGCCAATTAGTTCGTTAGTAAGCGGCTTAACAACTCTCATGTCTCTTTTCCATGCACTTCTTGGGGTCATCGCAATTCTTCGACTGAACGTCACGGGTTGGGCGGCTGCTTCGACGGGGTTGTGCGGTGAAAAATCTTGCTTTGTCTGGAGACGCCATCCCAAAAGATGGACGCGACTAGGAGCAAGGACGCTACTAGGGGCTCCTGGCCTTACTACTAGGAACAAGAAGCTACTAGGGGCTCCTGGCATCGCTACTAGTAGCAAGAAGATACTAGGAGCAAGAGGACGCCATCCCAAAAAATACCAAAGAGCTCTGGCAAGCCGTGCCATCCCGCCGTGCCATCCCGCCGTGCCACCTCCGTCCGGCCGTGCTCCCAACGGCTCCCCGACTTGGCAGCTGCCCGGCACTGTGCGGCCACGTCCAAGGTCGCATAGCCCACGGCGCGCACGGCCTCATCGGTGGATTCATCCGGACTCACCCAGATTCTCTAGGAACAGGCTTCCAACCTAATAGTAGTGGACACGCAGTTCAAACAGGTGAGTGCTGGATGTTCTATGCATCCGAAATCCAAAACATTGTACCACCTGCGATGGATCTGTGACTTGTGAAGAGTTGGACTTCTCAGGCCACAAGTTCATCCCACCTTGACTACGGTGAGCGTGTACACGATCGCAGAGTGGGCCACCTGAATCGAGTGCGCAACTGCGCAACTGGCGACTTTTGGAGCATCTACGGCAGCACCTGACAAAAGACAAGGCCCAGTTAGAAACGGGCTACTTCAGTGAAGACTTCTTCTGCCCCAGCACTTGATTCTCAATCTTGGCATCCACGCTGACTTCGTGAGGGCCTCACGGCTTTCACGCTCCTGGGAGTTGCGCCCTCACACAACTCCAAGGCGAGTGCTGGCTCTAATTGAAATGCTACACATCATGAATGTGGGAACAAACCTAGAACCATAGAAGAAACCCAGGTAAACCATTGTTGGGTTGTAGGTCTTCATCCAACGCCCCATCAAGCTGGCCCCTGGTCCTGGTCCTTCCGTGCAGCCTCCGCAGCTTCAGCAGCCTGATTGTTAGCCGTGGAAGCACAAACACCTTGAAATTTCAATACTTCTCGGCTGAGATCTACAAAAGCGTATGTGAGTCATGAGTCCAATGGCATCCAGCTTCAGCCAAAGCTAGTGAGCCCATTGGAGCTACATCCAATCCTGGAAAGCATGGGGTCTCCAACTTTGCAACAAGTTCCTGAAGCCAAGCACATGATTTGGTCATCTCGTCTGCTCTTGATAGCAAAATGCATCACCAGCATTATCATTATCATCGGCAGCGGCGGCGGCAGCAGCAGCAGCATATCTATTATATCTTCCCACCTTTCTTTCCATCATGCCGCATGTGCAAGTTAGAACTACCCTTCAACCTATCTGATCTTCGTCTCCCTGGTCTGCCTGGTCTCCGCCTGGCCTGATGCGCAAACTCGGCGGCCGTCTTGGCGTAGCGGGAGGCTTCTTCGGCGGCCTTGAAACCATAAAGACCCTGAACATGCAAAAAGCAGATACTCTGTTGATCCAGCGTCAAAGCAATCTGCATACCAAATGGGACATCCAATGGGTCGCAACGGCCGAAGTCACGACCTTTCGCCGGCTTGGCCGCGCCTTGCTGGCCTTTTCCAGAAGGGTTGCATTGTCCTGCAAGGAAACGTTCAACAGTCACATTTGGAAATGGAAAAGAACGAAAAATACATCATTGGCACACTCGCTTTTCCAACATTGCAACAGGCGCCGTGAGGGTGAGCACCATCAGGGCGCAAAGCCCCCAAAAAAGGTGTTCCAAGAAAGATTGTTCGGATGCGACAATGGTATGGCAATGGTTGCTGGAATTAGAGGGCAAGTCGGGCAAGTCGAACAGCGGCCTCTTTTTCGAAGAGCGAGTTGTAGACTGCATGAACAACCCACCTTCTCAAGTTCTGCTCTAACATGAGAACGGATATAGCAAGTCATTGGCATTTCTACTTGATTAAAATAGCGACATGCGGTTTCTCTGCCTTGTGACTAACGTTAGAAAGGGCCCCAAAGCTTGGAAGTGGCATCCTCTCCCAAGCTTCAATCCGCTTTCACCCCTGCGCCCGCGGCGCCCTGGGAAACCCGCTGCGCTTGGAATCGACTTCGGTGATCGCACTCCCTTCATTGCTCCACCAGCACTTCACAACGAAGAGGGCCCTTTCCAGTCCTGTGGATTGCCTCCCTTGCCGTCTCCCTCGAACTCCTCAAAGTGAAAGGGTAAATGGATGTAAAGGACTGAGCTTTGGGATGTTTGTGGAGTTGGTTGGATGTTCCAGCTTCGGGTCTTTCATCATTGGAGCTGAGTGAGTTCTCTTGAGAAAAGCAAAGTATTGTGAAGAAAGACTGTGCTTAGTTTGCTTCGAATCAAAGTAGACTATCTGCAACCGTACCCTTTTGATCCCTTTTGACGGGACCTGGATCAAGCAATGGATCTTTCACAGACAAATTCAACTCATTCCTCTGTGTTCCGTCCCAGGTCCGATTTTCCGTTGCTCGCTAATTACTTGCATGAGTCACGCTGCCACAAGCCAAAGGGTTTTCTGACATGGCAATAAGCTGAGCAAGTCCATACAACTTGGAACAGGTTCTCCAATCTTGCGCCCAGCGATGTTCAGACCTGTTTGCAAGTTCCTTCCCATAATCCTCATTCAGGACTTCTTCTCACCAATCTAGATTGACAATCAGTAAAGCAGCTCCAACGGCATCTCCTGCTCTTTCTTTTTCTCTTTCTCTTCCTGCGACGTAGCTAGCTGGGTAGTTTTGTTGACAATGACAGAAGTTTGGCACCGAAGCCCAGAAAACAACTCGTCATCGTATCGTGCTGTCACGTCTGTTGCCGTCCGCAGGACATCAGAACTGAGAGGTTCTGCAGGCTAAACGAACCCAGCAGGCTAAGCTCTAAAAGGACGACATGTTCCATTCATGACTTTAATTGGGAGAAGACTTGGGGATAGAGCAATGACTCAATCCACTTCTGCGTGAACGCAGAGATGACCTCCGGCTTTCCAGCCCCAGAGTTTCTTGCACAGAACTCGCCGCTCCTCGCCAGTGCTGTCTGCCTCCAAACCGCCGGATGCTTGGAACCAGCTGAAGAATTGGCCAACCCAACCTACAGTACCCTTTCTGAAGAGGTGTAAAGAAGACATGAACACATATTTCTACTCGTGTTCATGAGAATCCTAAACCAGGGAAATTTGCCAAAGGCTTGTTCTCTTTCCATGAAATGTCTTGCTGCTGTTGTGTGAACGCTACATCACAACATGAAGCTCCACATTTGGCCCAAGCCTTCTTCCCTTCATGCTCTTTCTTGGGAGGCGGTGTGTCCTGCTAGAAAGGCAGCCGCGGGGTTGGTGATTGGGTGATGTTTTTCATGTTTAGCCCGCAAACCTGATGCTGCTTGCTTTGAAGCCCTTACATAATCCGACTGCTTTCTGGCCTGATGGTGATTTTTTAAATTGATTGAGCCTTGTCCTTGTCTGCAGGTTATTGAGCGGTCCTCGGTATCGCTGTCAGTGGAGCGTCGGTCCTGCAGATATGCTGGGCCCCAAACCTCTGGTGCGCCATCCACAATCAATTTATGAACAGAAACCTTCAGGGACTCAACGCCCTTTCGTTCAAGACTCAGATCGTGATCTCTGGCCCAATCTCAGGTCTCTGGCCACTCCAATTGTTTCCACCTGACCATGTGAATCAGGTGAAATCTCCTTGAAGCTCTTCTCGTCGTTGCCACGGCGTTGCTCCATGATCTTTTCGTAGGCATTTGTCAGCTCCTGTGGTGGCCGACATGAACATCAATAGGCTCGGATCACTCAAAATCAGGCTCAGATCCTTTGATGGAAGAACTCCGGCGCTAGCGAGATCCCACCATGGTGCACTATACAGAATGGAGGCGTCCCAAATTCAGGTACTTTCGAGAGAACCAGGCGAAATGAACTGTAAACGTCCAACATCCCGAGAAGTTGCTCCTAGTAGCGATGCCGGGAGCCCCTAGTAGCTTCTTGTTCCTAGTAAAATCCGTGACCAGAAGATTATCAGCATCACCACAACGAACGCATTACGAACGCTTCCCCACCTGGAAATCCTCCTTATCACCACCTTTGTCTGGATGGCACTGCATCGCAATGAGTCGATAGGCCTCTTGCTCCACGCAAGGGAGAAGTAGGGAGGAGTACACGCAAGGGTCGGAATCTTGAAAAGACCAAATGAAAAGGAGATGTTCTGTATTTTCTGTGATCTTTGCTTTGCTGCTGCAAAATGTTGATCCAGGATACCCAAAGCATCCCCATCGTTGATAATTGTCTTTGTGAATCTGCTGGTAGAGGGTCAAACGTCCTCATTCCGAACACCTTATATAAGATCGTCTGAGTCTTTATCCTCTATATAAGTAATAGCTTTCTTGCGGGGCTTGAAGTCCAAGAGACTGGGAGTGCCATATGATGCCTCAAAAATCCTCAAAGCCCTGTAGACAAGTAGTTCACAAAGTTCACACCAAACGAAAACTGCCCAATAGCTCTTGCCGCATCTTCATACAGGATTTGGGTCCAAATACTGCACCACCAACAGGATTGTGGTCAAAACAGCCGATTCGTGGGATGTCTCGTCTGCCATCCATGGTTTGTTTCAGACCTCGTTCAGAGGTACCTATGCCCTTGTTCCGAGTAGCTTCTTGTTCCTAGTAGTAATGCCAGGAGCTACTAGTAGCATTCTTGATACTAGTAGTATGCCCTTGTTACTAGCAGCGATGCCCTTTGCTCCGTTCGTAGCATTCCTCACCTTCTTGATCTCAGCATCTGTAGCGCTCGAGGAGACGCCCAGAATCGCATAGGCCGAGTCCTCGGCAAGGCTGTTCGAATCCGTCGAGTCGTGCATCCACTAAAGTTGTTTCAGATGTGTGTTGAAACCAACAAAGACATGGAGATCGCAACAAAGACATGGAGGCAGCCACTTTTGGGTTGCGAAATGCCCCGAACCTCTCAAGTGCGTGCAGGGGAGGTTCCAACACATCTCTCAACCCCCATAGCCCTCTCCTCGTGAAGGCGTGCGATTTCATCCACGATCTCGCTCTTGAAACACATCTGCCTGAAGGGGCAAGCGAACGGGCGTCATGGGGGTTCTTCGTTCTTTGTCAAGGGCATCAATGAGTGACATCAAAAGGCACGCCTCAAAATGTACTCGTCCAATGCCCGGTTCAGCTCCTGCCACCAGTTACTCCGAAAATGTTCTTCCAAGCTCGGAGTTCCACCAGCTACTCTATCGCAATGGCTTGCATGTAAGTCACGCTGAAGTTTGTATATGCAACAGCCTTCTTCGCGGCAGCTATGTCAGAAGCTAGGTCAATGTATGTGTGTGTGTGTATGATGTGTGTAACAGTTGGAGTCACAGGGATCCTTTTGGATTGTTCTTCGGCTTTGTTTTTTCACCAATTTCAGCAGGGGGCACAGGCCCATCGCGGATACCTGTGCCAACGAAGCTATTCCACGATGGGGGAACCGGAGATTGATCACCTCCGTGTACCTGCTGAAGTGTGTGGCGTTTAGTAACTATGCTCTCCTCTAGCAGCCAGGCTGTTCAGGTGATGACAGGTCTGCAAACAAGTGCTCGCCGTTCGATTCTTCGTCGAGTTTGTACTTTGGCTTTTGAAGAACTGGCTTTTGAAGAATTTGGTCGTTTCCTTTCAGGTTTCAATTTACCTGGATTCTTAGGTTTTCACTTAGGCCGGCGTGTGGCAACCGCTTTCAAATAAGCATGCATTTTCTCAAGTGTGTGTGTGTGTGTGTGTCAACGCCTGTCTCTAAGGATTTCTCAATCTCCACTTTACGACTGTTTTGATCCTTTTACTTTTGGACTGTTTTCAACAATTCCCTACTATACAGCAGCAGGGGGCAGCAGGGAGTCCACAGTTCTGCTGCCAACGAAGACAGCTGTGGCTACTCCGTGAAGCAGATTGGGACGCCAATCAGTTAGCTGTTTGAACTGTTGAATAAGCTGTCCACTACAGTGTTTTGCAGTAAGCGGCTAATGCGTTTCCAAACTTTGTTAAACATCTACAAGTTCGCCGACTCCACCACCTTTCGGTTTGTGCTTATTTCTGTTCATGAAGTCAAGGGGGACTTCATTCTGATCCAAGCTCTTGCGAGCAACCATCTAAGTGTGTATCGCCACAGAGTCCCGTGAGGGCTGTGGTGTGATCCCCGTCAAGGGGCGCTGCGTGTGCACAGACCCAGATCCTGGGGGGCCCACCCTGAATGCTCTGTTTGCACTCCTGGACTTCTCTTGATTCCCTTTGATCCGCTGTGCTGCATGATACCACTGATACTATGCCGCAGGGCTCACTGAGATCAACTCCAGTTTGGAATCTCACACATGTACATATCACATTCATTCAGCTAGGTAATCAAGGCCGGGCACATACATGTATAGGTCGAACATGTCCACTACATTGTTCTGCTTGCCTTTCACCGGGGCGCCATGAACTACCAGTCAATCCCTCACGCTTCACCGATGACGAGTACCACGGCGCCCTACGGACCTCTTGGCCAGGCTGCATCACTGATGGCTCCTTCGGCCCCTTATGGATCGATGCCAACAATGCAAGTTCAAGTTCCTCAGCTTCAACCACATATGAGCCACTCACCTCTTCAGTACACCTCGACTTCGACGCCTACCGGTTTGCCACCTCAGATGGGATCTATGCCTACTGCCCACCTCGTTCAGCTCCCACCTACGCTCCACTCCATTCCCACTTCGACTCAGATGCATCCCTTTCAACAGCCCGACCCCACTCCAACTTGGAGTTTACCAGCCATGCTGGTTACACCACCACCCCACTCACCCATTTGGCCACCAGCTCCCCACAGACTGCTGTACCCACAGGCTGCCCTATTGAGCGTTCTCAGGCAGTACCAGCTCACCATGCGAATAATCCCTCGTCGGCAACACCCATTGTACCTGCCGTTCCTGCCACATCCCCGCCGATAACCTCACCACCACCACTTACCACCCCACTCAGCGCGTCTCCGGACGTCGCTTCAGCACCAACCCCACCCGCCGGCACCACGGATACCACCCCAACCTTTGGTGGTACTTCCACAACATCCAATCCCACGATTCCCCCAGCAGCCACGCCCACCAAGGCCAAGGCCCCGGCCTCTCGTCCACCGTCTATCAATGTCACCGTTCCCACACCACACCAAGACCTCCATTCGCCAGCGGCCCACCACCGCTTCCAAGAATTCTGCCAGCCACGCTGGCTCCTGGTCCACCTCACTCCACCGCGCCAGGCTCAGAGTTCCTCACCATCACCGCCCCATCCCCGAAGCTTGGAAGCAGACCGCTGATCACTGGGACGTCAACGAGTCGGGGGGACAAAAGCTCTATACAAGCGCACTCAACCCTCGGCGTGGAGCCGCAATCGTCAACTTGCAGGACTCCCCACTTTCCAGGTCTTCCCCTGGTTGCTGGCTTACCACGGCACCTCCGATTACACCGCTCGCTCTTTGTCGAATGGCAAGTTCACCAGCTTGGTTCCCACTCGATCTATTGCTGAATCTGTCTTCTTGACTCACTTGATTCAGCACGTCCGTGAACAGCACATTGACTTGGATGCCACAGCCGAAGCCCTGCACCGTACTGCCGGAAACACCCCTCCCTCCAAGACGACCGATGCCATCCGGCTACATACCAGAGAAGCCGAACTTCAGCGAGCCAAAGAAAAACTACAGGCGCATGGCTTACATCTCTCACCACAGCGTCCACCTCCTCGACGCCCCGGCTCACATCTCCTCACGAGAGGCTCCCCCTGGCCGCCCCCGCCCCTGCAGCGCCGGCCACGCCAGCACCCACGCCCCCGGCAGATTCCGAACCACTGACCCTAGCCCAGGCGCTTCAACCCGATCACCCATCGTTAAAGGACGACGTTCCTACTAAATGGAACGCCCAATACATCAACACCTGGACCAAGCAATTCGATGAGGCCATCCAGGACTCCGCCAATGAGATCCTCAAACTCCTTCAATCATCCGGCCCTACCCAAGCCCAACTCCAAGAAGCTGCAGTCCGCTATGGCATAGCAACTGGTGGCCATTGGGGCCGCCATGGCTTGTTGACTTAGCAGCCGAGGACCCACTCACACCATGCTTCACCATATACGCACATTACACAAAGCCTTAGCCCACATCCAACACCATGCTAGCTACATTGATCGCGCTGAAGCCATTTATGCCATAGGATTGCTCCACCTGGCCGCCTTATTCTACTTCCCCTCCTCTACCTTTCGTTCCAAACAATGGCGTTCCGCTTTCGCCAACTCAGGATTCACCCCGACCATTACACCTTTTCCCAGTTTCTTGCCCCCAACTCAGTCTACGTCAAACTTTATTTCAACTCTCATGACACCCAACGGCGCTATCACCAGCACGGCCATTGCTACGTGGGCTCCACCGCCATCGGCATCCCAGGCCAAGAACACAACCGGCGAGCCAAACTCAAACAACTGGCCAAGAACACACCCATTTCCGCAGAACTATCCCTCCGCTACTGGCACACCACCAACACCATTACCCACTTTTCCACCATTCACATTGCGACATACCCGGATTTGGACCAGGCCTGGATCCATGAACACCTCTACATCTCTCAATGGCATCCCACACTTAACTGGCCCTACATCTCACAGCACCTGAAACTCAAGGCTGAAGGTTGGCAGTTCAGCAGACCGAGCATATTTTTTCCCTCGGCTCGCCAACCACTTCAGACTTTTTCGACGACTACGCCGCCGCTTGCACTCCACTAACCAACCCATCCTATACACTTCACACAAGCTACATGCACTTACTGCGCTTCGCGACCTCACCAAACACACCCACGCTTCTTTTGAAGCTGCACGCCAACTCCGCTCCGGCAAATACAGTGACCTTGAAGTCTATGCCATCCGTCGTATGGCCACCAGCCTTGAAGAACCAGGACGTAGCCGCGCCACTCACCTTATCAACCAAGCATTGAGCTCTCGCAATCTCACACCACCCAAGAGCAATCTCCCTTTGACCATACCGTTCCTAGCCCACACCAACTTCCACGCCGACACCCAAAGATGGCTCGCCACTATCATCAACCAGCACAAACACTTTGCCATCCCCCTCCACCTTCCTACACGCCGTCTACGAGAAGCAGCACATCCCACTCTACGCAGCCGTCTCCACAACCACCGCCGATGGGAAGATCACATTGATTGGGCACCCTTCCCAAGCCGACCAGCTCCCGTGTGGCTGCAATCACCTTCGCGGCCTCCTCTTGCCAGACCATACCTTCTCTCCAGATGAACACTTGATTGTCACCCTGGCCGATCTGCAGCTCCCCGCCCATCTCCGTCGCTTCCTGAAAACATGAACAGCACTTTCTTCCCCACCAAGCGCCGCTATTGGGACACCTTTGGACGTAGCCTCACCAAATGGCTGCGACACCACGGACTACCCACCACCTTGGCCCACCATGCCGACTCTTTTCTCACCACACAATGGACCAACCACCTGCATCACCTACAACACGAAGACAGATTCACCGCCAGATCCATCAAACAACTACAAGAATTTTTGAGCGACACCGTCGTCCTTCACCATGCTGATCACGAACTGCAACATCTCCGCGTTTTCTGCCCCCGCGTTTACTTTCGTGGCTGTTTGGCCACATGGCAATCACCAGAACTTTTCCAACCATTGCTAGACGATACCGACCAGACCATTTCTAGCATCATACAACAGACCTACCCCGCACACTTGCGCAAAAAATCCAAATGGGGCTTCATCACCAACTTCAACATGCCCTATAGAGTCGTTCACCTGAAGGCCAAGAAACAATGGAAGAAAGGTCGTACTATCATCTCCTACTTCAAGTCCTACTACGGGCCCTTGCTGCGCGTCACATCCAATGTCCTTAAAGCTGTGATTCACCAGCTCCTACCCCAATCACCAGGACAGCTCTCGATACCACAACTATGGCACCACTTCCACGACTACCTTCATCACACTCCAGATCATGTGGACCTCTACGCTGTGAACGATGACCTTGTGGGTTTCTTCAACTCCGTCCCTCAAGACCGCTTAGTCGACGCGGTTCAAAGCTTGGTCAACCGCTGGCAACATACCTTTGACACTCCTACCATCACCGTCAGACATCCACACAACCGGCGATCCAATCCAACTAGCCCACATCGGCCGCCATCATCGCAAACATCCAACACAACGTACACTGGACATTAGCGACATCACCACTATCGTAGCACTAGCTCTTGATTCTTGCATTTTTAAGGCTTGCAATCTATACTTCCTGCAGGTTCGCGGAGCCGGGATTGGCTCCCAGCTCTCTCCTGCGCTGTGCAATGTCCCTATCACACTCATCGAGCACTCATGGTATCAGCTCCACCACTCCTTGACGGACCACACCGAGATCCACTTTGTCTACTACCGCTACGTGGACAACCGCTTCATCGCCTTCAACCGGACATTCCTCACCCACCTCGCCATCCAGACCCTCACTCACCCAGACTTCTATGGCAACCCAGTGGAGCTCGAACCAGTGGAGGACATGCACCTTCTGGGCTTTGATGTGGACCTTCACCAACGGACTATCACCTACGCGCCACCCGATGCTTCATGGAAAATTCGCGATCACGCCTCAGCTGGCTCCACACGCTTACGACTTTCAGGTTTTCACTCCAGAGCACATCTCATCCGCAAGTACACCTACCCGTCCTCGGCTGTCGAGCGAGCGCTCGCTCAACTAGCAGACCTATATGTCCAAAAAGGACACGATCTTCACAGCTGTCGGCAAGCACTACGAAAAAGTCCGCACTCCGAGCTTCTTCACTTTTGAGGTTTTCCTTGAACCGTTTTGTCCCCCACAGAGAGCGCCGACCACGGCCATCTGTGTGTGTCTTGCCTGTCTCTAAGGATTTCTCAATCTCCACTTTACGACTGCTTTGATCTTTTTACTTCTGGACTGTCTCCACACTTCCCTACTATACAGCAGCAGGGGGCAGAGGGATGTCCAGCTGTGGCCTCTGCCAACGAAGCTCCACACTGGATGATCAGGAAAACGTACCTGCTTGGTGCACCTGGGCGCATTGTAAGCCGCAGCTGGTGGCCATCCCCTTTCCGCCAACTGTTTAACATCCTCATTGCTTCACCCGTGTTCAAACATTCAAATCTTCCGACCCAGCACTTTTTACAGTTGATTCAAGTCAAGGTCTACAATGCATCGGGTAATGTACTCGTCTAAAGTGGGACTTCATACTGATCCTAGCTCTTGCGAGCAACCATCTAAGTGTGTGTGTGTGTGCGCGTGCTTTCTTCAACACAAGAACTCAAGGTATATATATATATATAAATAGATATTTACATTTTCTCTAAAATCACACAAAGTAACAAAAAGGGGATCGTCTGCGCCACCGTGACCTTCACCCATTTTCCCTCCTCCAGGTGCTCCGTGCTGAGGTGGTTAGCCTCATCCTCCGCCTCCTTACTGCTGAGCTCAAGCTCGTGCGCCAAGGTCAAGTCGCTCAGGACCTCATCGAGGTCCACGTGCACGGCGCACTGAACAGGCTGAGTGCATTGGGAGGACTGGGGGAAAGGTTGTTTGGGGGATGGCCTCTGCTGGGTGTGGAGAGTGCTCATGTTTTTGTCCCGAAAAAGACATCGGTGTGTTGGTCGAACCTTCTACAAAGGGTCGCAAATATGGTGTGTTGGTCGCTCTTTTTCCCTACATGCACTCCGCCAGTTACAACGGCGCTTCAACCCTGGAGGCCTTGCATAAGCCAATTGAGTGCGTCTCGAATGAGGAAAACCCACAACGAAAACACCAAAAAAACTTTAGTCATCTGTCGCCAAAGTCAGGCATACTTCGCAATGCTCCTCTCACGACGCGGAAATCCCGTCCCGGACGTGAGCGAAATCGACTGGGTCAACGCTCCACTTCCACCCAAACTTGTCTCCCTGGGTGGCCCAGCAAAGTGCCCTTCAGAGGCCTTCTCCACCAGACGGCTGCTGGGGACCATCCTGCCTGGCGGGGAACCAAGGCATCCTGCATGACCCAAGGTCAGGAAAACCGCCGTAATTCATGGTTGTTAGTTGATGTATTCATGCTGCTTTTGGTGTCCCAAGTAGAGTAGGAGTGTTTCCATCAACAGCAGGATCCAAACCAGCTCTGGATTTTCAACCCCGAGATGATCTTTAGGTCGCAGGAAATCTGCTTGCCTTCCCACTCCAAGTTCCCAATAACAAGTGCAGAAAAGAGAGAAGTATATCAATACAAAGCGAGAAGTCCAAACCCACGCATACCCACGCAAAAGTCATGTTTGACTTATTCTGGTTCCACAAAAACTCTGTGGGGCAGGCAAACGACTGCAAGATGTCCTGTGGTGAACCAACCAATGATGAACCGCTGTCTGGATGATGCTCACCTCTATATATATATATACATAAATTGCCAGAACAACTGTGAGTAAAGCTTGTGAAGTGGAATATGCGTACCCAGGAAGATTGCTCTAGCCGAACCACCTGCACCTCCCCAATGGCCTTCATGCTGTGGCTCTTCCACCTTGGTGTGTTCGAACGCCGATGTAAATAAACTGTAAAAGCATAGCAGAAAGCAAGCAACACAACATTTGGAAACAATCTCACTGGGTATAGTCAGTCTAGCCCCTTAACTTTTCGGGTCGCATCCATTCGCAAGAGGACATCGCCGGCCTCCAGTGGCCCGGCATCTCCGCAGAAGGCTTTGATGAGCTCCATCGCGACCTGCCGGGGAGCTCAGGGTGACGCTGGGCAGGCCCAGTTCTAGCTCAAGTAGAAGTAGAAAAGGATAATAAGTGTTTACCCATGTTGAACCCCTTCTAAACTCTTGGCTTAAATCTCAAGTGGTGGTTTATGTTTTGCTCTTGGAGATTTAGTCAAGAGCACTCAGGAGGGGCATGGACTGGATTCCTGACGGTTTGTCCAAGGGCCACAAACAAACGATGTGACCCATGGATATTTCTAGTCGAATGAATGAGGTCGCTTCTTTCTCCACTTAAGGTCCCCCAACAACCCTCCTCTTGTGCCGAAAAATGGATTTGCCGCATAGATGTGACCAGCACCCTTCCAGCTCCCTTCCAGCTGTCTCCTTCCTTCAGATGCCTGGAGCTTCAGGTAGTCCTTGGGCGACCCTCCACGACTGGGATGCCCACGTAAGCACATCCGTCGATACACCAATGAGATCTCCTCCACCGAAGTGGAAGACCTCGGAGATCGACCAAAAGCACCACGGAGATCCACCGTGTCTCCGGCTTTGGAGCGGGACCCAACACCTGTGCTGAATACAAGCCTTCACAGACACTCCCCATCTCCCACCTTGCCACATCTGTCCTGCTCAAGCTGGGGTCCCCACCAGTCGCCCTCATGGCGTGGCTTGAAGCCCAAGAAGGCGAAGGAGTCCCGCAGGGCATCCACCGGGTGTTGCCGGAAGACCTTCATCGACGGTCGACCGACGCCCGTCCACCAGGTGAAGCCGGTGATGTTGGAAGGAAGTGATTGGGTATCCTTACATTCTATAGTGAGCTATAGTGGCGATTCTGGACTTTAGCCATAAACTGTATGACCCAGCCATTTCGTCGCCCCTCCGCAGCCTCATCGTAGAGCCACTCTGCATCGCTGTAGCCGCCAACCAAGGCTCCTAGCGGCCCTGGCCCGGTGAAGATGTTGCAGGGTGGCAAGAGTTGACCTTTTGATGCCGCAGAAAAGCGTCCTGAGACCCCTAAACTTCTAAAGCTGAGGAACACCTTTTCCACTGGTAGAAAGAGAAAGGTTCTCCTTCAAAAGACGGAAGACGTTGAATTACAGCATTCCGCATACAACTGCGGTACAAATGCGGCCTCCAAGGACTTCCAATTCACAACCGCCTCAAAGACCCCAAATGTGCCCTTTCCCATCAGCTCAAGTCTAGCGTTAATTCAAAGTGTGAAAGGTCAGCACTTGCATCTCAGTGATACATGGGCCAGTGGACCACTGGCTTGAGAGCTTTCCAGTGGACCACTATATACATTCCACTTCAGACTATCACCGAACCACAGACTACCTATCACGTCCCGAACTCGTAGAGACGAGACTCGCACAAATGTTTTTCGTAGCTGGGTCACCCTAGCTTGCCAACTTGAAGTTGGAGAGGACTGTGAGGGCCCGATCCAAGATCACCTGAGGAGATGGATCCATCACTTGGTGCAATATGGATGAGATTGGATGATGAATATGGTCTCACATAGGTATCAAGCTGCAAAGCCCAAAGGCGCCAACCCAAAAATGTTGGTTGAGTTAGTTGGGAGAGTCTCTCTTTGTCTCCCTGTTTTGCTTCTTCCAGCGACGCGTACCTGCGAGCACTGCAGCCCGGAGGTCTGCCCCAGCAGCCAACGTCGGACCTCTGCAGTGGCCTGGCGCACGAGTGGAGGTTTGAGAGTAGAAAGTCACCGTGCGCAGCACATAGCAAGCAACAACGTAAATGAACACCTCTGCGCTGCGAGTACCTTCATGTGGAGACGAACCCGGCTTCATCCGATGTGCATTTCACCACTGTTGGCCCTTGTGGAAGTGACACGTGGCATCTCGAGCCTCCACGCCCAGCTCGGATCGCTCTAGGACACCTGGGCCACCCCATGTGGTGACCCCTGCAAATCGCCAGGTTGAACAGTAGGCATAACCCAAATGTGATCCTACCAAGTGTCTTTCCATTGTCTCAACATGAGCCCCCATGCGAACAGGTTGCCCCCTCTTGGTCCGGACCGGTGGAAGCATCTGCAGGTGGCAGCCATGTTTCAGGCACCTGCATCACCGAACACGTTCGAAGATGGGCGGAACCCAACGGCGGTACACTCTGACTCACTGACTCTGCGCAAGGAAGATCGTCTCCCCGGGCCAGGCCAGTTCGATGTTCAGTCGGAATCTATTCATGGCACCGGCGGGCACCGGCTTTGTTGAACTTCTAAACCAAAGTTGAACCAACTCTGACCAACTATAATGGAAATGGTGTCAAATGTGGCGACGAAGAAAGGAACAGTTTGGCGACTTTGAATCATGTTTAATACAAACAATTAAACTATATATATATATATCCAACCTTGCTGCGCTTGGCCGCACCATGCAGCGGCTCTGCCAGCTCTTGCTGTAGCAGGCCAAGCATGCTGGTCCTCACATAGAACACATCCCAGAGATAGACTATGTACTGTACTTTGTCTCCAAAAAGGACATCGGATTTCATTTGAGAATAGTCGTGAATGTGAACTTCGGATTGTTTCCATAGATTGATAGAACAGAGAGGATGCGTTGAATAGCCCAACTAGTCCTGTGATTCTGCAACGAATTGCGGGAATTCAGCCCTGCTTGGTTATTTTTCCACCTAGTCACATACGGGTATTGTTTAAACCTGTCAGTTGTTTCTTGGCTCAACCCTGTCAAACTGCGACTGGCAGGACCCATTGCGCAGCGTGTACGGGCAAAACCTATCGCGCAAGGTTCTTTCAATACTTTGCAAGCTGAATTTCCCATGCCCTTGGCATGCCCTTTGCATGCCCTTGCACGCTTCTTTTCTCCTCTCTTTCGATCTGATTTATTTGCGCGTGTGAAGCTTAGCATACCCTTTACCTTCAAGTCTGTGTGAGGTAATAGACAAAATAAGGAAATGAACGAGACACAACAAATGAGTATGTAACTTGAGTGGACTCGTGTGGGAAGCCTTGAAGGCCATGCCAAAAACAATTCGTGAACTCGAGAAAAAGTTGCACTCCGCCTTGCTCAAAGTCTTTTTGGGGCGCGTTTGGAAATGGGCTGTAATATTGATATTTGGAACGCCTTCGACGCGAAGTTCTGAGTTTCCATTTAAAAGATATATATATATACATATAAGTATATATATATATATTTGCAGTTTCTGGCTTTGCGTTGCGGTGTGTGAATCTTAGATTTGTCCTCAGGGATACAACGCTTGGCTTACCAGCGAGTCAGCACAAGGGATTGCAAAACATGGTAGCCACCAGAATGCTGAAACATGCCACTGAAATCCTGAAAGCAAGTTCGTTTCCTTTCTGCCGTGACCGCTTCAAATGCTATGCCAAGTGGGGATGCAAAGCGATGACTGCCAATCGACACAATGGAAAATTCGAGAGAAAACAAGTCTGACAAAGCGACAGGAAGAGAGGGAGAGAGAGGGCTTGATTGTATCTACCTGCACTGAGTTGGCACACCTCCTTTAGCTTAAAGCAGCCACAAAAAGAAAAACACACACATCCAGTCCACACATGGAAGGAGGTTGGCCTTTGACCTTGCCCTTCGTTTGGCATTCATCTTGCAGTGTTTTGAAGATTATTAGATTTAAGATTTAAGAATTTCCTTTACCTAAGGACCACGCTGCGAAGGCGGGGGAGGAAATTTGCCGCTGCCAAAGCCTTTGCAATGCTTCAGCCGCGGAGGGCGTTTTCCCCGCCTTCATCTTCCCGCATCCACGTTCGCCATCACCCACGATACAAGCCTTGAACAACACTGAGGATGTTGTCTGGGGGCTGCCCCTGCCTGGTGTTGTTGCAGCTGTGAAGTGCTTCTAAGGTTTGTGTGCTTGTGGCACTCGCCGGGTGAATCCCCAAGATTCCTGCCCAGCAATCCGACCAAAAATACACTTCGGCACGTTTGGGGATGATCGAAGAGCATGCAGGACAGAGTCTCCATGGGAACTTCTCGGACATATTGATTCTGCAAGTAAATGTTCCGATACATGACACAAATCATTTCCCCGGAGCTCCTTGAACAAAAACTCCGCACAGAACAATTCCAGCATCGGCAAGTGGTGCGTGGAGCGCAACAGCACTTTCAAACACACGACTCTCGAACGAGTTCTCGATTGTTCAGTCG